AAATAATACAGAAATAAAATAATTAATTAAAAAATTAAATAAAATTAAATATGTACGTATGCACATTAAGTACGTACGTGTACGTACACACGTACATATTGTATGTACGAATGAACACACGTACGAATTTTTTTAACATTACTGTTCAAAAGTTAAATAATTAATACTAATAACAATTGAGCAATCCATTACAAACATCTGGACTTTAATCGGGTCACTTTCAATACAAATGCAGACAAATTATGATTTTACAAACTGTAAGATACGAATCCGGCAATGATTGTGTGTCATTTTTGTTTATTTGATCCTTGCAATTGCTTTTTTTTCACGCGGATCTTTGAAATCTTTCTGATTGCAGAACTTGTTACAATACGCGTTGCGCATAATGCAAAATTGTCATAACTTGGTACATAACTCTGTACATGAATCCGTCAACTGTGTTTTTTATGTTCAAACTAAAACGTTGCGTGGAGCACGTATACTTTGAATTGTAAAAATATGTAAACAGTATGAGTGAAATTAAATAATTTTTTACGCCAAAAGTTGTATTATCAGTAAATTCAGTATTGTAAGTACTTTTCACAAAATTTATGATAAAGTTTCTATTATAGAATGTGAATAGTTCGCGCTTTAAATAATATTGAAAACCAACAACTGGTGAGAGAACATTGTTTTTCAAGGGGATATATATGAACACACAATTATAATATAACATTTCATAATACTGTTAACACTACTATAGTTCTAGCCATGACTGCGTTTCAAGATTGGAGAGGACTTTATTGCACAGTTTATAGAATTGTCTAGTGTACTTGTATAAATTCATACTGAAATATTTAAGTAACAAGATCAATTTTGGTCGATTATAGGATTTCATTAACCTAACTGATTGAATTAAAATTTATTTATCTAGCTATAAAAATTTTTTATACAGTTTATAGCATATACATATGCATACATACAGGATGAGGAAAAAATATGGAAACCCTGAAAAATCTCAAAAAATATAAGTTTTACAGAAAAATGTTTCAAATAAAAGTTGTAGAATTTAAAAAAGTCTATTCAATAGTCTCATCAGTTTGATCCTGACTG